CTCTCTCTCTCTCTCTCTCTCTCTCTCTCTCTCTCTCTCTCTCTCTCTCTCTCTCTCTCTTCTTCTTCGTCGTTATCTTCTTGATGCAGGTGCGCGGCGGCTTCTTCCACCTCGAGGTCCGCTATGGCGGACTGCCTCCTTCAGTCGCCCTCAGCTATGGCCTGCACACGACGGCGCGTGGAACAGCGGGTACCTGCTCTGACACCAGTGCATTCAGACTCGACTTATTCACACTTGTCATGCATGCAAACAGCGATACAGCAAACTGGCGACATGCGCCCACACAGTACTCAAAGATATCGTAACCAGATAAGAGTTCTCTTCCAACTGGCTATGGCGGCTGTGCGCCCACACAACTCACTGTTCACACTCTGGATCACCCTGGATGTCCCACACGCAACACTCCGAACACACACACAGTACACACACACTGCACCCTACACTAAGCTATGGCAGCTCTGGCTGCCGCTACCTATCGCTATGGCTACCCTGCTTCACTCTCGCCCACTTCGTCTTCGGGCCCCCTGCAGACCTCCTTGCACTAGACGCTGAGGCAGCGCTACCGCATGGCTTCCGCATGAACGAATGAATGGCTGGGCGCAGCCCCTTGATTTATACTTCTGTGCTGCGTTGGTCTGCCCTGTACCCCTGGCCCATCGTGCACACAGTCCCAGACAGTACTTGCTGGACTGGACCGGACTGGGTGGACTGGGACTGCTGACTGTACTAGGTGGACTCCCACCACTTGCCCACTTGCCTCTGCTGAACGCAGGCTCACTCCAAAAGGCCACTTCTAGAAACCTCTAACTTGGCCTTTCGGTACTGTAGCAGCTACGACTTTGCCCTTTCAGGTAAGTAGCAGCTATGACCTTGACACTTCAGGCAGTCTACAGCTACGACCTCTAAACTGTCTAGACTCCTACCCTACAGGTCTACAGTTCAAATCCCTTCTACCCTGTGACCTACGGAAACCTACCTACCACTAGCGGTCCTACAGGTAACAGGTTCAAATCTACCGGTTGACGCCGATACTGTACATAGGTAAGATGGGGAACTAGGGATCGAGCCCTGGGGTCTGCATTAGCTACTGCGAACTGGTGAATACCGTTTCAGATGTGCAAGGAATATGAGTGTGAATGATATACAGAGAACCACGTTGCGAAATCACACAGATGTCTGAGTAGTCGTGTACAACCAGAGAGCACAATAGCACCGAGAATCCATCCAAATAGAGAAATACAATGAAGTAATGAGCCAATGTTCAAGGCCGTAGGCCACACCAACACAGTATCCAATGTCGCTCCTCTCTGTCGAGCGCCCAGCGCCCCAGCCTACTCTACTTTACTATCCTACCTACAGCTGTGTTCACGCAACAGGCTCCCTTCGACTCTCGAAGACCAATGTGCATGATGTCAACATCATAGCCGACCTCTCTTCATGCACCAGGTACGTATCTCGTCACCCTCATCAGACCTTGTTACTCCACACCCGCCTCCTTCCTTGAAGACCACCATACCGCCCTCATACCCCCTGGCGCCCAGCAGCCCGGCTATGGCTGCCTGCGCCCCGCTGCCCTGCAGCAGCCCACTTCACCACTACGCGCCCCGTCAGCGCCCTTGGCAACAGCCCAGCATCAAGCAGTAGCGCAGCAGGACTTCCACATTGCCTACGCAGGCCAGAATGTCTGGCCTGGGCTGCCTCACTTCTTTTATGGAAGTGGAAGCCTCCTGGATGCTGCGTGTGGCCTGGCTGGAAGCTTCCAGTAGCTTCCGGTTGGGCCTCAGACCCTGCGCCCAGGCCCGAGACTACAGTTGCGGGCCTGGGCCCCATTTACAGTTGGGCACGGCCTGAGTCTCCGGACTTGGGCTGTTTGCTGCATCTGTGCACGGCTCCCAGGAAGGTGCGTCGACAGTACTGCTTTTGCGTAGGCCGATGGCCTGTTTCTCAATGTATCGGCCCTGCTTTGTCTGTGTGGCGCAACTGTCAAGGCCTGGGCCAACTGTATGACGCAGCTTAGTGAGGCTCGCGCGTCCATTCAACCAACTGGCGTGCTGCAAGAGCCTGAATACCCACATATGAAAGTGTCAAATTTTGGCCTTTGACGAATATTCAGTCCCTCCTTCACTTAGGGTGGGCACTTGCCTTTGCCCAGAACATGTGATGTCTGATAGGGCCCCGTGAGGGCTTGTTCCTCGCAGATGCTAACTTTTCCCCAAACAGTTAAAAAAAAAAAAAGGACATCATACCTTGAGGACACCAACGACCCTAGCTCAGTCGGTACACCCACAAACTGTTGAAAATTGAAATACAGGCCCAAGTTCGAATCCAGACACCATCGGATGAGCAGAACAAAATAACTCTGAATTACCTGGTGCCGGTCAGTTCAACGATGATATCTGACGGCTGTCGCCCCTTAAAGGGCCACTACCTTTCTCACTGTGACGCAAAGTGGTACATTGAGCCTCATCCAAAACAATCGCTGCCAGGAGGCCGTCGATAATTTTCATCAGCGGCCCGTGGCCTCCGAATTTGAATTCGAGGCCCGAGGCCCCATACACGAGGAAGGTTGTGGTGGTTAAAAATTATTAAAAAAAAAAAAAAAGACAACATACCTTGAGGACAGCCAGCACCATGTCATAGTTGTTTATTAGGAAGATAGTTTGCTGCTTTTGCTTCGGGAAAAGCCGTGACAGATTCACAAGCAGACTGTCCACTGCTAAGCGAAGCTTCTCCAGGTTAACCTCCAACTGATCACACACACAAATGCACCCGGGAATAAATGAATAAGTAAAAAAGAAAAAATCAACCAAGTTTTCTGGTCTTCAGAAAATCGCACCAAAAAAAAAAAAAAAATCACAGCAAAAAAAAAAAAGAGTGCAGATTACGAACGAGTTTGAATTTCACAGAATTGATTTGGCAAAGAAAA